ATGGCAAGTAATGCTATCAGGCTTCCAAGAATATAAATTCATAGGAAAATAGGATATTCTGTAATTACTATTATTCCAAAAATATGAAGAAACGTAGGAGAGACTGAAAAATACGGCCTGTTTTAGCTAAAAATGGATATGTGTCATTTTGCAATGTTGTTATAAAATAAGCAAACTAAAATAGAAATAAGAGGGAAAGTTTTGTGAACAAGGAAAAAGAAAATGTAAGATTTGACTCTTTGCTGATGAAATCAATCTTTGGATTGTGCTCCCAACTGCGGTCAACCCAAACGTAATTGCACTGTGTGCTTTAATGCTTTTAAAGCTTTATGGACAAAATAATTTTTTTAAGAATACTGAAGACAGAAATTATCTTTGTCATATAGTTCAAACATATGTACTGTTAAATTGGAAAAAAAAAAAGTGTTTCCTGCTGGTTAGAGATTATCTGCATAATAGTTGCCTAAAATATATGGATTCATTTAGTTGTGAACAATGTAGCATCTGTGAAACATGATTCTTAAAATAAATGCAGTATTCAATGAGTATAGCGCTAGTCAGGCCTGTACAGGATATTACTCTACTCTCCTCCACCCACTTCTTTATATAATATAGTTAAAAAATTGTGAAAGTAGAAAATTCATACCCAGACTGTTGAAGTAAATGAACAGTAACACTGAATGTCTGTGCTGAGAATTCACCACGAGTGGGCCATAAAACACTCCACAAAAATTCTTCATGTATTTTATGCTAACACCTTGAAAACTGCATGGTTTTAAGGTACCAGGTTGGTTTAGGCATTCAGCCAGCCTGACCAATGGCTCTATCTTACAAAAAGGTATCAGCTGAATTTTCATGTTTCTAATATAGTGTATTGTCTATGTACTGCTTGTGTGAAAATGGAATCATACACAGTTAAGACTACCTGTGAGTCTACGGAGGATCTGGTTTGCCTTATGACATTATTAATTCAGTGGATTCTGTGCTAGCCCCAGCGTTACTGTTATCCAATAGTCTGATACTGCCTGGATAGCAGCCAGCTAAAAAAACGCTCCAGCTGACTTTGATCCAGAACAGGAAAGCTTCCATTGGGCTGCTTTATAGAGCAAAATTGGAGAGGTCTTCTATGCAGCTAGCTTAGCACCATCTGCATCATATGTCAGTGCCTCTTTAGGACTGTCGGCAGTAAAGCAGGCTGGGCTCTTCTTCAGGCTTACAAGGCTCTGTCTAGAAGCAGAATCAAAGCTATCAGTCTTCACTTCATACTATGCTGTATTGGTGAAGGCTTGGTGATTGGCAATCATATCAGTTCCAAAAAGTGAGAGAGAACAGTCTGACCATTCTGTATTCTTTTAAACCGTGTATATAGAATCGTAGAATCATTTAGGCTGGAAAAGACCCTTAAGGTCATCTAATCCAACTGTAAACCCAACACTGCCAAATCTACCACTAAACCGGGTCCCTAAGCACCATGTCTACACTTCTTTTAAATACCTTCAAGGATGGTGACTCAGTCACTTCCCGGGGTAGCCTGGTCCAATGCTTGATAACCCTTTTGGTAAAGAAATTTTTCCTAATACCCAGTCTGAAACTCCCTTGGCACAACTTGATGCCATTTCCTCTCATCCTGTCTCTTGTTATTTGGGAGAAGAGGCTGACACCCACCTTGCTACAACCTCCTTTCAGGTAGTTGTAGAGAGCAATAAGGTCTCCCCTCAGCCTCTTCTTCTCCAGACTAAACCACCCCAGTTTCCTCAGCCTCTCCTCTTAAGACTTCTGCTCTAGGCCCTTCACCAGCTTTGTTGCTCTTTGGATGCGCTCCAACACCTCAGCGTCTTTCTGCTTTTCAATGCTCTTGAGCTGGTTTACAACCTTTGTAGAAAAGCTTAATGTTGGCATGTCCCAAAACGCTGTCTGAATGATCCCATAGAAGAACATGTTAATAGATGGATGGGTGTAATGAGGCTGTATGTAATCAATGCTTGCAGGCTGGTAACCTTCCTACCTGTTTTGAAGAATATCCCTATTCAATAGCTCTTTGGTCTTTGCTCTACACCAAATAAGGTGATACTCATTGGTATCTTTCCAAATCAGTTTTCATGTTTTGTTGCCTTTTCTGGCAACTGTAGTTCAAATGAAATTTCATCACCATTTTCACTCAGGTCTTCATTAGGCACAGGAAATGGACTCTGTGCATCAGTGCCTTAGAAGGGAAGAATGGTTGCTTGCCTTGTGGTAATAATTTAAGAATAAATATATTCTATATGAATAAGCTGCCCTAACTTGTATTTGGGGGGGGGGGGGGGGGGGTATTTCTGAAGGAGCTGAGGATTATCTTTAGGCTTGGGATAACCCAAGCAGCAGACCAGCAGAGCAAATAGAACTGGGCATGGACAAAACCTTGAAATTATGCCCATTTACTTACCTTGTGTATGTACAGGAATGTATTGATAATTTATTACTTTATCCATACTGTTTCCAGTGATGGACATGGTTTTCACTGACCAACCAACTAATTACAAGTTAGATACTTGCTTTCTGTGTCCTTAAGATGTCTTTATTAATGATTACAAAATTGAAATGGTCCTTCCTGGCACTTTCACTCCAGCATCTGCAAAGTTGTGACTGTCTTCCATAATATCAGAACGATTAAGGAGGCCTTAAGAACGGTCTGTAGAGGAAAAAAAAAGTCCTGCATTTGGTTGTTCTGTTCCTGGAATAAGATTACTTAAGTTTTCTCTATTTTTTTGTCAGTTTTTTGTTGCCCTCTAGGATTTTTATCCTAGTGAAATAGCAGGGTTTCACAATGCAACAAAAGTGTAAATTTATTTAATAAGAAGATACTAATAGCCTAAGCAACTAAAAGGAGATTAACGTTACAGTGTGCTGTAGAGCTGCTGCTAATAATACAGACCCTTCTTGCAATTGGTGGCTTGAGAAGAAAGGTTTGATTTTTCAGTACTTCAAGAGAGGGATAATTACAGCTTTGGGGCTGCAAGAAGGTTTTCTGATAGTGCTGGGGGAAGTAGGAGAAGGCTCGAGTATGGCAGCTGTTTTTAGGCACTAGCAACAAGCAAGAGGAGCTGAGGAACAATGTGGCTTTATAGCCCAGGTGGTTAGAACAGCTAGTGGCCTGGAATAATGTATGAAGTACATAGGGACTTAGGACTCAAACCCTATCATTACAGGTTAGGTTATTTGCGTTTAACCCTGAAAGTTCATAAAATGTCAGTTTTACAGACTACAGGCCACAAACCACTATCCAGTACTCTCAGTGGGAACTCAAATGTCACCAAATATTATGTGCTGCTGGAAGACAGCAGAAGGGCATAGCAAATGACCTTGCAATGGGAGCAATTTCCTAGGTAAAATCGTTTAGGTAATACAACGAATTGCTTCATGCTGCTGAGAAATGTCACATCTGTTCTATACCATCTCTCCCAGACCTTTCATCCCTGATAAGCTTTGCTGAGGGAAGGCTCTTCCTAGCTCATCTGACCATCATTTTAATGCTGAACATGTAAACAAAGCTAGTATGAGCCTCTCTGCATTCTGCTCTGCATCATCTCTTTATTCTTGGCCCATCTTTAGTGATTCAAAGGAAGCCCAGGTGAGGTTAGGGGGATCTTCAGAAACAAAGTTTACATTATGAAGAAAGAGAAAATTATTAGCCTGTCAGGTAACTGAAACACAGCATAGTAATGTAAATGTAATGGAGCAAACGGAGTAGACAGTATGGTAGCCAAGACTTCTCATGACTGTCCTGGATGTAAGTGAACCAGACACCAAAGGACTTGAACAAAGCTTCGATTTCTAATTTGCAGATCTCTCTATTTTGTCTTCCAGTTATAATACTTGATGCGGTTGATTACACTGAGAACTTTCATGTAGGCTTGGCATCCAGTTTGAACAAGTAGAAGTTATGATGTGCTTATTCCATAGTGTTCCTAGTCTATGTTAAGTTTAAATAAACTTGGACTGTGATACCTGCTTTTGAGATGCTAATATGAAGGACAAGAGACTTTGAATTTGAAAATTACAATTTCAGATAATCCTGTCCTTGTAGATACATCAAGTGCTCCACATGTCTGTATGAGATTAGGTTTTGTTAAACAGTTGAATTTTTTTTAGAAATGGTAAGATTTCCAGCATCATGTGAGGTCTGCCCAGATAAGTGCCCAAAATAGAAGCAAAAGAAGCATATGAGTTAAAAACATACACTGTAGCAAATTTGTACAAATAAATGAATTTTTTACTTAATAAGAGCTAAAGGAAGGAATGGACGGACTTTCATGATGTTGTGTTTTCTTTCATGAATTTAAACAAATTATGTTATTTAAAGTATTTTTTAAAAAGTTTATAATACTTAGTTTCCTTTTTACAAAAAATCTAATGGAATCTTCATGCATTTGAAATTTCATGCCTAAACTGCGTAGGCTGAAATCGGAAACTGGACAGCAAAATTACCAGAAATGCAGCGCACTGTTTTGTTTCATAGAGGTTCTTGTCTGTGTCTGGAACTGTACTGTTTGTAACAGGACTGTGTGGGTCCAAAGTACAGACAAGTGGAAAAAAACCCAAACCTAAACATCAAAAACACTAGGAAGACCAAAATGTGACTTCTCTTTTGCCTGCTTTCCTGTCACTTCTTCCCTACCTCGAAAGTGGGAAATGTGTGAAGTAGCATGTCTGATTAATACATTATAGATTCTTGTACTAAGTTGCTCTTTGTGCTTATATTCATTACCTTCCAGAGATTTTTTGGAAAGAAAAAAATCAATAGGAGTGCTGCACATTTTGAGTTAAGGTTATCGGAGATGTGCTCATTCTTGACTGGCTAAACTCAAGACATGGGTGGGGATTGAGACTTGTTTATCTAAGCGGTGATTTTGTGGGAAAGGGAAGATAATACAAGGGGATAGCTTAAAAATGTTTTTTAAATGAC